GGGAAATCAACCCCAAGATAGGGATACAAATGTTTTATTTTTCTTTTTTGCTATTGTTTCTAATGTATTTATAATGTGCCATGTGATTTTTTTGTTGCTTTGTATGTTCCTCCCTCATGGTATAACCCCTGTTTTTACTGTATTTGATGTCGGTCTAATTTGGGGAGGGGAAGGGGAAAAACAAAATGTTTAAATAGGGATACCAGGTTGACCCATTGTAAAATGAGATGTACAAGACACTGTTGAACAATGAACTTTACAATCTGGGGCAGGGGAAGTGTAATTGTGGAGGTGAGGAGGGAAGGGATGGTAGGGGAAAAACAAAGGAGGAGGCAACAATGCTTGATAAGAAATGTACTCATTACCTTGCTCATGTAATCGTAACCCCTCTGTACAGTATTTTCACAATAAAAAATTTACTAAAAAAAAAAATCAAAAAGAAAAGAAATGGACAAAACAGCTGGTTACTGGTGGCTCATCCCTATATACCTACCTCCTCCTAAGGCAAAGATCTAAAAATCACAGTTGGAAGCCAGTCTCATCAAGAAGTCCATGAGACTCTTACCTCCAATTAACCACCAAAAAGCTTGAAGTGGATTTGTGTCTCACATGGCAGAACTTTAGCCTTGAAAGGAAGAGCTCAGGGATGGGGTCTAGTTTCTGAGTGCCAGGACTGACACCAAAAACAAGCCAATAAACATGTGGTCCTACATTTGCATAACAACTTGTACGTCGTGGCTCCTTCTCACTGAAGCCCCAAGCATGACTTTGACCTTTCCTCATTTGCATCCTCTCCCTCCTGCCCACCCCTATTGCTTCCTCCAGTGGCCCTCATGGTGGCTGATAACTGAATGAATATCTGGGCATGTAAGACTCTTGGTGACTCTTTCTAGGTTGGGGCATCTTACTGTACACACCCCATCAAACAAGGTTCAGGTGCATGTCCCACAGGAGTGCTGCATGGAAGACCCGGGAAGGAGCTTGTCCAGGTTGCAGAGTGACAAATGGCAGCTCTACCGTAGCAAGAGCTGAGCTCCTGGGATTAGCAGGGAGCTGCAAGTAGAATGGGGGTTGTATAGGTACTCAGAAGCTTAGCAATATAAAAATCAGAGGATCCAGACATTTCACCATCAGTGCAAAGTGATGACTTGTTAACGTGGAATGTAGGAAGCGTGGCTTCTGTAGAATCTTGACATCCACAGGTCTGTGGTTCCCCAGAAGCACATTGAAGGAGAAGAGTGCATGGTCAGGGTGCATGGCTTTCTATTACAGGTGCTCAATTCCTAACTCGGCCCTCCCACCATGCTGCTTTTCAGCACATCAGAGATTTTTTTATTTTGTCACTTCAATTCATTCTCAGCTTGCTTTTTAGGGACACCAGTTGTTTTTGGGTTGGGGGCTTGGTTTTCACAAAACTAAAGGCAGGAACAACAACTAGGGGATTGTCTGCCTCAACTGAGCTGCACGATGCACAAGCAGGACTTTTGAATCTTTGTTTTGATATTTCTTTTGATCTTTTAAATTTATTACTGTAATTGGATCTTCCTTGGTTGAAGCCATACATATTAAGCCTGTGGGTAAGACAGGCTGACTCTTAATTAGGTAACCTCTGGCTTCCTTGGCTGACTTCTCCTGTCATACCAGTGAGGCCTGCCTGCTTGGCGCTTGGGCTTAATGAATGGGTTTTTGGTGCTGAGGACACAATCCCCAGATGGCCTCTCAGGAGAGATTTTCAGAGTAAATATGAGCTGGGCGCTCATGGCTCACACCTGTAATCCTAGCTACTTTGGAGGCTGAGATCTCAGGATCACAGTTCAAAGCCAGCCTGGGTAGGAAAGGCAACCACCAGAAAACCAGAAATGGCATTGTGGTAGAGTACTAGGCTTAAGCAAAAGAGCTCAGACACAATGACGAGGCCCGGAGTTCAAGCCCCATGATTGACAAAAAATAAAATCAAACAAACAAACAAAAAACAGTCACTATGTTGCCATAGTGATTATTTGATCTAGCCCCCCATTTTCTAGGGTGTGTTCAACAACCAGTGTTTGACTATTCCATAGTTACCAATTGGTGGTCATCTGAAATGTTTTCCTATTGTTGTAGATTAGGAAATGACAACTTAGCTCAAACCAAACCACCTCATCATTTTAGGACTGCTGAGAACCATTAATGTTTCAATGGAGTCTCTTAATAGGCAAGATAAAATTCAGCATTTTGCTAATTCATTTGTGCAGATTTTTTTCTACTGTCTTATGAATCTATTTTTTTATGAAATACATTTTGGGAAATGTATGTAATCCTGGTGACAATGACAACTCTTTGTGGGTGTGTTGATTGTTCCCTTGAAGCTCGTAAGTAAGACAAGGCACAATTTTTAGATCTGTTTGCCGAGATTCTGTTTGGCTTTTAGTTTGTTGAGTTAAAAAAAATTAAAATGATAAAATAAGTCTTGACTTGTACCCTGATGTCACTTTCACAGTGCTGTCAATCCTGAAGAGTCACTCATCCCTGGAGAATGGTGGCCCAGTGCTCATTGTTACCATGCTGAATCCCCCCCCTCCCCTCCCCCGGTCTTCCTCAAAATAGCCTCCATGAAGAGCTGCTTTGATTCCTGTGGACCAGCCACCATGGCTTGGGGGCCCAGCAGTCCTAGGAGTCAGGAAGGAGGCACTCTCCAGAGTAGAGTACTCACTTGTGACTTGGCCTACCATTTCCCCAGCTTCCTTCCGGTCAGGAAAACATGTTCTAGAACTGTCTGTAATCCATTTGACCTTCAAATCATGTTATGATCCCTTTTTTTTTTTTGGTATATGTGCTGGTACTGGGGCTTGACTCAGGGTCTATGTGAGCTTTTTACTCAAGGCTGGTGCTCCACCACTTAAGCCACAGCTCCACTATTGGCTTTTGGCTGGTTCATTGGAGGTAAGAGTCCCACAGACTTGCTGGTTTTGAACTTTCATCCTCAGATCTCTCCTGAGTAACTAGGATTACAGATGTGAGCCATTGAAGCCTGGTTTCTTTTCTGTTTTAAAGTCTTCCATTTGAGCTTGTTGAACTGGGATGACTGTGGTAAGAGTTTCTTGTCTTAACCTTCATTATAAAGAAAACATTTTTAGAGGCTGGAGGTATAGCTCAAGTGGTAGAGCATCTACACAGCAAGCACACGGAGAATTTTTATTTTATTTTTGTAGGTTATGATGCCTGAACTCTGGGCCTTCAGCTCTTCAGCTCAAGGCTAGCGCTGTACCACTTGAGCCACAGTGTCACTTCCGGCTTTTTCTGCTTATGTGGTGCTGAGGAATCAGACCTAGGGCCTCATGCATGGAAGGCAAGCACTCAACCACTGAGCCACCTTCCCAGCCCCAAGGAGAATATTTTTAACATGTTTCCATTAAGAGTAAAACTTACAGGCCCTTGAAAAAAAATCAGTGCTGGGGCTTAAACTCGGCTTCAGCATGTCTCTGAGCTTTTACACTCAAGGCTAGTGCTCTATCACTTGGAGCCACAGATCCACTTCCAGTTTTCTGATGGTTAATTGGAGATAAGGTAAAACGGACTTTCGGGCCCAGGCTGGCTTTGAACTACGATCCGCATATCTCAGCCTCCTGAGTTGCTATTGGCACTCTGAAAAAAAAATGGAGGATTTTCTTAATTTTTTAAATTTCTTTTGTAAAGAACCTTGGTCTTACTTGTCTACATTTGTTTCGGATGATTCATTCTTGTTCCATCAATCTGGGTTTCTGTCTTCTTGCCAGTGCTACACCTGCTTGATTTAATTTTAGAGTATATCTTAAAATGGGATCATGTGAATCCCAAACCTCATCTTCCTTTCCACAAATGGTTTTAATTATTCTGCCTTCTTTACACTTTGATTTCCTTTTTGAAGTCAGCTTGCTTATATCTACAGAAAATCCCATTAAAACTTTTTTTTTCTGGTGTTGGGGTTTGTACTTTGGATCTCACACTTCCTAATTTCTTAAGGAAATCCTTAGCCCATTTGCTCTTAGGTTGTTTTGAAATATGGCCTCACACTTTTTCAGCCAGGTAGGTCTTGGAATGTGATCTATCTACCACCCCTCTCCACTCAATTTCCTGAGTGTCTGGGATTATAAACATATAGAGAGTACTACCATCTGAAGGTTCTGTTGAGATTTAGATTGGGATTGCATTTCTCTATGGTCAGTTTGGGAAGAATTGATATCTTTACCATGTAGATTTTTTGGAGTCTGCAGACAGAGTGTATCCCTCCATTGTTTAGATCTTTTGTTATTTCTTTCCAAAGTTTGTGGTAGTAGTCCAGCCTGCAAGCTGTTTATGTACTTTGATAGATCACTGCCTAAGAATTATATATTTAAACAATTACTAAAGATATTTTAATAATTTCATTATCCATGGATTCATTACTAAAATGTGGAAACAGGTCATTCTTCTATGTTTGTATTACCTCATCCATCCTTACTAGATTCACAGTAGTTGCAGAAATTTTCTACATAATAAACATTGGGCTGTCTATGCACAAGGACCCGATACATGGTTCTCAGACCTTGGTGGTAGTCATTTGCATTGGTTGTCAGGACTCAGGATTGTCCTGAGCTTTTTGTTGTTGTTGTTGTGTTTGTTTGTTTTTTGGTTAATTGATCCCCTCTTAGATTTCTGTCTTTGCTTATTTATTTTGTGTATGGAAAGCTGCTTTATTCTGCTACTTGACAAATTTATATCTGAGAACAAAAAAAGGGGAGTGTATGTGTGTGTGTTATCCTTAACCCAGGTCTTTATCTGTGACAAGAATGTCCAGTCAGCCTTGTTTGCTGGGATGCTGGTTACTTAGGATGCCCAATAAATTCCACAGTTGTCTGCATATTCTCTTTTAGAAGTTTCTGGTACTGATTTCTGTTTCTTTAGAGTTTTCACAAGAGAACAAAGAAAAGGATAGAGAATAATTATGACAACTGAGTTCTCATGTACTAATTTACTGATGTGTTTCTCAATTTTTTCTTTAGGGCAGAGAAGACTGAAGTTCTGAGCGAAGACCTTCTTCAGGTAAGGCTGTCACTTGCCCTTACCTTGCTTGTAGACCCCGGAGACTTCATTCCCACAGTTAAGCCAGTCTCTGGGCTGTTTCTGCTGCAGTTGTTTCATGACAGTGCTTTTGAATAGAGCTGGCTGTCCATATTTGCAAATATATGTGATCTCTGTCTTAATCAACTGTAGATCAAAAATGCTGGGGGGAAAAAACATACATCATAGTGAAAGCATTCAGACATTTTTCTCATACTATTCCCTAAACAATAAGTATAACAGCTATTTGCATAGTACTTACTTTGTAAGTATATACCTTGTATTTACCTTGTGAGGTATTATAAGAAATGTAGAAGTGATTTAAAGTGTATAGAAGGGTGTGTATAGGCTATGTACCAGTGCACATCTTGTTTTATACATCTGGGGCTTTAGCATTCTGGATGGGGGTTCCCGAAACCCCTCCCCAAGATGCCTGGGGGGAAGACTGTCCTGATGTAGGTAATTTTGTTGGGAAAGATACAGCAGAAAGCCGTGGCCAGTCCCTCTCCATCACTCCAGCTGTGGATGCTGCCTTCTTGAAAGACCTGATCTCTGTGGAGACACAGGTTGTGATGGTCCAGCCTCTGAGTAAGGCTCACCAAGGCCTTTCCCCATCTGTCTGTAGGTGGAGAAGCGCCTGGAGCTGGTGAAGCAAGTGTCCCACAGCACGCACAAGAAGCTCACCGCGTGTCTGCAGGGCCAGCAGGGGGCAGAGGCTGACAAGCGCTCTGTAAGTGCCCTCCACTATCCTCCACCACCCCCAAGCCTCTGGAAACTTGCCAGGGTCCCATTCCCAATCCTAGAGCCTTGTTGGTTCTGGCTATTTATGTCACAGTTAAGTGTCTTGGAAGGGTCAGACAAGCTTCCCTGCTTGCTGCTGCACGGGTAACCCTTCCCTTCCCACATGCTTGGCTCATTAGCTCTCCTCATTAGATCCTTGTCCTTTGCCTTCCCAGAGTGGGAAACCAGGAAGATGACAAGGACATGTTTAAAATCCTACCTCAAGGGAAGCTTCATCTCTGATGCACATCTTACCCCCTCATTGCGCATGTTCATAGATTTCTGTCTCAACAGCATCCAGAATGTTATGGGAAAAATTACATCATGGTTTGAGAGGTCCCAAGTACCTGTAGATGTTCTTAAAGATTGTCTTTACTATATGAGACAGTAAAGAGAATCTGCTAAATAAAAATATCCTAACGGCTTGGCTCATTACCTGCATGGGTACTACCAGGTGTTGTAGAGTGTGGTTCTGTCTAACAGCCTCTTACTTCCCCCTATCCTCTGCCCCTCTCAATTTCATCAAAGATGAAAAGACAGTTATACACATTCACTTGGTTTTTATTTCAAGAGGTCTACAATCCAGGAGGGTTTTCTTCTTTCCTTGAGTTGATATTTTGATCTGGCTTCTGTGCATGTGGCTCTGATCCTCCAGTTCACACCAGGATGTCTGATGACTGTTACAATGCACCTGATTCTTCCTGTGTCTCCTGTGAAGTACAAACACTGTTCTGCCTGCTCTGTGTCTCATTCCTTTTCCCTCCCTAACCCTGGCTCCTTTGTCTATATATCTCTTTCTTTCTGTCTCTCTATGTCTCTCTCTTGTGCTGGTACTGGGGCTTGAACTAACATGAGCTCAGGACTGGGGCACTGACCTTTATCTTTTTTGCTCAAGGTTGGTGCACAATTACTTGAACTACCTCTACTTCTCACTTTTTGGTGATTAATTGAAGATTAGGATCTTAAGGATCTTAAGGATTTTCCTGCCCTGGCTGGCTTCCAACCATGGTCCTCAGATCTCAGCCTCCCAAGTAGCTAGGAGTACAAGTGTGAGACATTAGCACCTAGCCTGGTTTCTTAATATATATTGAAATCTCCCTCTTCAAAATGCTCAGAACCAGGAGTGTTATATCTTGGATTTCAGATTTTTGAATGCTTGCCTTTCTATAATGAAATATCTTAGGGCTGAGATCTAAGTCTAAACATGAAATTCATCTGTGTCGTGTTCACACCTAATACACACAGGCTGCAGGTCACTTTGTACTACATTTTTACTGCTGCTGTGTTTTGACATAGACCCATCGCATAAGGTCAGGTGTGGATTTCCAACTGTGGCATTACGTCAGTGCTCAGGAAGCTTTAGATTTTGGAGCATTTGAGATTCTCAGCCTCCATCCTCAAATCAGTTGTGTTGAGATGTCTATGAAGCCTTCACATGAAATGTGAAAATGTATATGCAATTAATTCTCCATGTGTCAGGAATTTCAGCACTATCTCAGTGACCAGAAATAGCACTCTTATCCTACCGATAGATTTCTTATGTAAGAGGAGAATAGGAAGAATATGAATTATATTTCCAATTTTTACTCCTTTAATATAAGCTAATAGTTGGTTAGTTGATAGGACTCCACGCGGTGATGTCTGGCTTCTGAAGCCCTAGTGTGTTTTCTAAAGAGGTTACATTCAGCAAAACACCTAGTGAACAAAAATGTTTCTCCACCTTATTTAACAGATACTAGAAAGTACCATGTCTGCCATGTAAGGCAGTGTGCTATTTTAAGAGCTGAGTGAATTCAGCAGTATCCCCATCCTAGATGCTCAAGCCTAAAGTAGTGTGAAGCAGGCTTTGCATACAGCATTCATTAGTGACTTAGATTATGTGCCATGCTGGAACAGCTCTCTAACAATCCAGCAGCAGGATGTTTCCATGAGGAGCTGCGTTGAAGGATACGTCCAAGATGGCAGCACCAAAAGAGTACAGATGTTTCCATGTCAGAGGCCAGCATATACTGAGTTCCATGACACAGTTCCAGGCATAACATCATGGAGACAAAGAAAGGTGACAAGAGTGACTAGCCTGTGGAGGGCAGGGAAGGAAAGTGTCAGAAGATGAGACAACAGGGCACTAGGTAACACTTTGCAGAGGATTTGGACTTCATCCCTAAGAGCAATGGAAATCCAGGCTTTTATTAGGAAGTAACGTGACTGTGAGCTGCTAACTGGCAATGGTAGAAATGGGTCAGTTAGACACATCGGGGATGACCTATGCAACAGTCGTGAGAACATGAAGATGGAGAGAGATCAATACACCCTACAGATATTGGAGGCAGAGTATTCAGACTTGACCTTGGAATGGATGGGAGTATGACAGGGGAGGAAGGTTTCCGGGGCTTTGGTGTGAGTGACCATTGAATCCATTGAATCTATGAGGTTGAGCTCTTCTCCGGAGAATATGGCCTTGAGAAGACATGAGGTTTGAATCAGGAACCCAGGAGCTCTAGCATTGCAAGCTTTCTCAGGAAGATCTGGCCCTTTCCATAACCCATGACCCAGCTTCCGGTAAGCTCTTCTTCCAAGAATTCCTCCTGTGATTTCACAAGTCCTCCTAACCTTGGCCAAGAGGCTGCTGTTACACAATGGAGTGGTTCCTACCAGCTGTTCCAGTCTAAGCCCTTTCCTCCTTCACAATCCATCCTCTGAAAAGTCCCAACTAAGAGATTAGAACAGAAGTCAGGTGAGGTGAAATCTTCTGCCTGGACTCCACCAGAGCCCTCCCATTGTAGAAGAGACTCTGAACTCCTTGACTTGGTGCCAGAACCTCACAGTGATGTCTTCCACAGGTTTCTCTGAGCTTAGCGCTTGCGCCCTTCCCATCAGTTATCCTCCTCCAACTGTAGTTATATACTAGTGGACATACGGAACTATGTCTCTCTTGGAGCCTTTATACTTGGTCTGGTCTCCATGTGGAATGCTCCCTCCCAACAGCTCAGGCCAGCAGCTTCTTAATGCTCAGTTATCACTCAGATGCCACCTTTTCCCCAAGGCTTTCCCCAACCACCAGGTACCTTGGCTCCTTCTCCCCTTCCCCACTCTCCTTGACCAATCCCACAAGTCCAGCTCATATTAAACTTGATGTGATCACTGGTTTCTGTCACTGAGGTGTGTTATAGAAGCAGATATCTTGTGTTTCTATTTGCTTTACTTTCAGTGCCTAAAAGAGGGCCTACCCATCCATGGTGAGCAGTGATTTAAAACAACAACAACAAAACCCAGACCTGTCCTGACCGGAATATTTCAGACACAGGACCTACCTGACAGGCTAGCATGCCTGTCAGGCTAGCATTTGAACCCTTCTGTTCTATAATAGGCAACCTAGCATGAGAGCTGGACTCTGACTACCCAAAGGTAAAGCAAAGAAGCTACTACTTTCTAATTCTGTCTGAACGTGAGCATGTTCATTACTGCAAAAGCCTTAGTTTCTTAATTTGGGAAATGGTGGTAGCAATAATATTTTCCTACCCAGTAGGGTTGTTTGAGAGTTCAGTGAAGCATATGAATACTTACACAAGTATTAAACAGAGAGCCAATGCCCCAGTGTTGGGTTCAGTACCCATCAGGACCAATTGAGCTCTGGGTGACAAGCCTAGGCTATGTCTTTTGAGGATCAGAGTAAAAATAGCTCATTCTGTGGGCTTGGTTCTGAAGTATAGTAGGAAGCAGTTTTCAAAGCTAAGGAGAAAGAGGAAGTGAGAAGAGAAGAACAAAGAGAAAGAGGGAAGGGAGGGGGAGAGGGGAGAGAATGAATGGATATGTCTGGGGAACAGAGCAGATAGTACAATGAACCTTTTTGCCTCTGAGTCATCTTACAATCTCTGTCACTTATTCTCATGATAATTTTAGCAGACATAGTCATCTTGAATATAACCTTGGGACATTCTGTCTTTCCTTTTATTTTTAAAGTCTATGTGAACTAAAGAGCCACGGGAAAGGTTATTTTAATACCTCCTCTTTGTCCCTGAATATGACTGGCCAGCATGAAGTTCGGCTATGATAGTCACCAATATTCACCAAGGATGGGAAACCAGCTCTCTGCATGGGTCCTCAGTGGCAGAGGGAAACAAATTTCAGTGGGTAGTCTAGACTTCAGAGCAATTTAATCCTTTGAAGACATGGGGTCCATATATGGAATGTAGGGGTGAGACTAAAGGAGAGGGAGAGTGTGAAGAAGGCCTTTGTGATGGACAGTCAGTAGGCCAAAAGATGACTTCAGTGTCTGTGCAGCTCTCAATTATTGCCACTTGATAGAAATAGTGTGATTTGCGACCTCTTGGTTTATTGACCTTACCATCTTTTAATCGGCTGCTTTGGATTATTGATCATGGATTTCTCTCATACCCTTTGGACGTGAAGGTGTATTAATTTCATATGCATATTCTTGTTTGTTTTTTTTCCTTTGGTCTCTTGAATCTTTATGAATTTCCTTCATTAATTTCTGCTGACCTTGACCCACTAAACCCTCTTTCTCCTGCCCTTGAGATCCAAGTCTTGAAGTTCACCTCAACGTTTCTTTTAGAGGGACAGTTGAGGGACAGTTACAACCACTAAAGGATTCATTAAATACATGGTCATATAATTCAGTTATGTATGTTAGTCATTAAGAAAGAACAAAGTTGGGCTGGAGGCATGACTCAGTGGGTAGTTAGTCAGTGTAGAAAATGTGAAGCCCTGAATTCAGACTCCAGAGGTACCAGAATAAGACAGCTTTATGTAATGATAGGAAGTGAGAGGAAAGGTATTTCTACATAAGGAGCTGGGAAGGGCCCAGAGTGATATATCTGCTGTCCTAACATTTGTGGAGGAGAATGTGCCATACAAATGGATGCATACATAGATCTGCTTTGATTACAGATTCACTGACACACAAAAACCTGGTCAGTATTACAGATGACAGGTGGTTGGTTGAAGGCTCAGAGCAGAAAAGAGACTTCTGGTTTAAGCCTTTAGCACCTTTTAGTTTATACCATATGCATCTACCTCTTACTCAAAACCTAATTCATTTAAATCGGGAGCCAGTGGCTCACACCTGTAATCCTAGCTACTCAGGAGGCTGAGATCTGAGGATTGCACTTGAAAGCCAGTGCAGGCAGGCAAATTCCAAGAGACTCTTACCTCTCATCAACCAGCAAAACGCTGGAAGTAGAGCTGTGGCTGAGTGGTAGAGGGCTGGCCTTGAGTGAGAAAGGCTCGCAGAGGGCCTGAGTTCAAGCCCCCAGTGTCATATCACACACACACACACACACACACACGCAGAGACACACACATCCTACACACTGATTCAGAGAGAGAGAGAATCCTGTGCTGTTGGCCTTCTCCATTCCCTACTTTATTCCATGTAGGCCTTGAGCCTATGGAGTAGTCTCACCCACACTTAAGATGTGTTTCCTTGACCCTTAATCAGTCCTCTCTGGAAATGCCCTCACAGGCACACCAGCGATGAACTTTGCCAATCCAGGTGGTTCTCTGCCCAGTGAAATTAACCACCAAAGGGAACCATTGCAAATCCTGGCCTCTGGTGTTTGTAATTGACCAGCCATATATTTGACGTCCCAGTCTCCTTCTCAGTCTGCATCATTTGCTAGTGTGGCTCACAGAACTTGAGGAATTACCTCACTCGTGTTATCAGTTTATTCTAAAGGACATTATAAAGGGTGCAGATGACTGTGAGGTGGAGTATACCTTCGGCGAATCCGATGATACTTGTCATCTCTAGAAATAAGTTCTGTGAGAGCCGTGGCTGCTTTCATCCACTGCAGGTTGGTGCCCAGCCAATGAGGAGTGCCCCCTTTCCAAAAAGCAGTGCAGCACAAAGCAAATGATAGGGGAGCTCTCTAGGCAACACTAGGGGGCTTTTTAGTCCCTCTCTACTTTGAGCACTGTCTTTATGGCTGTAGAGAGTAGAAGGCTTGCGCATATGCTGGCATTTATTTCCTGATTTCTTGGTTTTCTTCTGCTGTGTCTGTGCATGCAGGTTGGATGTGGTTCTTTGATACGTCATAAGGAGGAGAATAGGTCAAGCTGTATATCCTAATAGCTTGCCTCTGCCTCCTTGTGGCATGAAGGTGTACCATTGCAAAGTGTGTATGGCAGCCATACATTTAGTTCACTCACAATATTGTCTAGTTGTCACCATTGCCTGGTTCTGGAGCAGTCTCAATACCACAGAAGGAAATGCTAGGTCCCTAAAACAGCTTCTGTTAAGTGCTAACCTGCTTTCTGTCTCTAAATCTAGGCCTCTTGATATTTCTCATAAATAGAATCATATAGTGTGTATCCTCTTGAATCTGGCATATTTTGCTCAGGATGATGTCTTTCAGGTTCATCTAAGTTATAGCACATGTTAACAATTCATTCTTTTTCGAAACTCAATAGTCTTCCCCTCTAGGGACTGTCACATGTGCTTATCCATTCATCCATTGATGGGCATCATGAATTATTTCCACTTATTATCTATTATAAACAGTGCTGCTCTTCACATGTATGAAAACATTTTTGTCTGTCTGTTTTCATTTATTTGGGAGTACATACCCAGGAGTGTAATTGCTGGGGTATGTAACTATTGATGTACTACCTAACTTGTATACAGTTCTGTGCTCTGGTAAATTTCCAGTGGCAAGGCATCTGTTCACTGTGTGCTATGAATTGTTTCTGTTTCTTAGTGTTTGTTTTTCTTTTTCATATTCCTAATCTAGCCATGTAGGTCTGTGAAGTGGCATGGACTTGCAGTCCCCCAATGACTCTTAAGCCCTAGCACTTTTCCATGTGATAGTTGGCCATTTGTGTATCTTCTTTGGACTTTGTCTCTGTTTTGATTCTTGCCTTGTGTTGTGTCGTATGTGAACACATTTCTCTGTTTTTGTTGTTCATGAACTGTCTCATTTACCCCTTCTTGCTACCCTACTCCATTTAACAGTGTAATGCATAAACCTGAGTCTTATTTTCCACAGTGACACATTTAATTCAGGTTTCATTTTTGTGGATTTTGACTTTTCTAGGTGCAGGCCATTTTCTTGCTACGTTAAAGTCAGCATGTTCCGAAGCTCATGTAGCATCTTGGGGAATGTTGGACTTTGTGCTGATCTGGAGTATGTGGATGGTAGTAGAGAAGTATCTTTATTGCATTCTGTTTCCTTTTCAGAAAAAGTTGCCTTTGACCACTCTGGCTCAGTGTCTGATGGAAGGCTCAGCCATCCTGGGAGATGACACCCTTCTTGGGTAAGGAGACACCACGCATGGGTTTGTGCCAAGTCCAGCTGAGTCCCCAGTCCTAGAAAGAGGTCTAGAACTGGGTTCCATGTAGGAGAGAAGACATGGATATTTGACTTTCTCAGTCTGCTTATTTCACTTAACCTCATAATCACATTATTCTTACAAATGAAGGCAGGAATGTAAAAGTGGTTCTGTTTAGGGGTTGGTACCAGAAGGAAGGGGGAGAGTGAAAGGAAAAAGGTCGTGTGTGTGTGTGTGTGTGTGTGTGTATGTGTGTGTGAAAAAATCTGGTCAAAGTATTCTACACATATGTATGAAAACAGAATAGTGAAACTGCTGAATTTTTTTCAGGAAGAGAGGAAGAGAAAGAATGGGGGTGGGATAGTAAAGGGGGTAAATTTGATTTGTATTATAGAAATACCACACAGTGAAACCCCTGTGTGTCATACAAATAATACAAATAAGAAAATGGTAAAGTAGAAAAATAAAAAGAAATACGATACAAAAATTTTTTGACTGAAAGCAAGGGGTCTGGAATTTCCCAGGGAAGCTTGGGGTGTGCCTGAATTTTGGGGAGGGGAAGGACACATTGTAAACCCTCAGCTCTGATATGACTCTTCCTCAGCAGTGAAGCAAGCCAGTCCCAGGGGAGAAAGCAACTTAAAGCTGGTGAGATATGAAGAAAGACTATTCACAGCCCCAGGGGCTACAGTTAGAAGCAAGTTGACAGCCACTGAGCATCAAATACCAAAACAGGAAGGAATCCCTGAACAAGCCAGGATGATTGTAAAGCTACACGAAACCTCATTACAACTAGAATCTTCCTGGAAACACAACCACACTGTCCTACAATCAATCAGTAGGACAACCAGTAAACCGAGTACTAGAAGGAAAAGGGACAGTATGAAAGAAAATGTACACTATTTAAAGTGAAATGGAACAATGAACTAAAGATCAGAGACATCTTTAATAAACACATCATATAGCATGAGAAAGGAATAGACAGAACGGGATTTAAAAACAAATTAGGGCCTCTTAAAATAGAAGTTATACTGATAATTTTAAGGCTTCACTTCAGGTGTACTGGAGACTGTACACAGAATAGAGAATTGATGGGCCTGGTTTTATATTAGCACAGCCTACAGACATGACCACAGGAAAAGTAAGTATTAGGCCATGCCCAGGGGCTGGAGGACACAGTACAGAGATCACCATTACATCTAGAAGGAAGTTCTGCAGAAATGGAGAGAAGGATGCATCAGTGGCTGAATCTTTTCTAAATAGGAAGGAAAACCTAAGTCTTATTTAAGGTCTTATTTAAGTCTTATTTAAGGTACACAGAAAGATCAATCATAAGGAATCCATCCTGAACACATTCTACTAAGACTCTAGGTTATTTCCTCCTCCCTTGCCCCCCCAAAAGAAATATAATATCAATGAGAGAAAAAAGAATTATCTATAACATCATAATTAAACTGAAAATAATACTCTTGCTTAGCCAAGTAAATTCCAGTCAGTAATAGAGGACTATCTCCAAGTAAGAAATAGAAAGACAAGAAGTCTACAATTTTATCATCAACCAAATCATTAGTCTAAAATAAAGTGAAATTAAAGCTATTTTCAGGCAGACATATACTACTCACAGTGTAAACTGCATTAATACTCAAATATGCTTCTTGCATATTCTCACCCAACAAACTAATTAAGTCTTTTATGGAAATGGATTCTGGATAGAGCAAAGTGCAATTTTAAAATGACTTAATCTATTGTAGAGAAGGAAATAATTTCTATTTCCCTCTCACTGTCTTCTTCCTTAACTGGGACCACTTATTCAACATGTGGGTCTCCTGCACGTGGACAACTCCCTCACTGATGAGTAACAGATGGGTTTGCATAGCATTTGGGGGAAAGGAGCAATTTTTAGAGAAGTGACAAGACAAGAGGAAATGTGTCTCTTGGCTGGCAGGTTGTGGGAAGGTAAGGACTAGTAAGTGGAGTTTTTTATGTACCTTTTCTGGCTCCATCTTGGGGCTGATAGAGTTGTCTCCAGTTGACTCACTTTTGTTCTTTCTGGTAGAAAGGGGAATGGGAACACCTTTGTAAATTTATTCCTTGCTTTTAGGCAAATAGGAAGAAAACAAAGAACTTCTTCCTTTTTATCTGCCTTTCCTCTACCTCTTCTTCCTTCTTCACCCTTCTCATCCTTCCCTTCTTTTTCTTCCTCTTTGTCCTCCTCCTCTTTTCTTTTTTCCTCCCCATCCTCCTCCTCCTTGCCCTCTTCCTCCTCCTCTTTTTCCTCCTCCACAGAATGTAAATAAGCATTGAATCCCAGCAACATAAGAATGATTCATTATAAGGGTGGTAAGCAAGATGGAACTGAAATATTAGGCCATAAACATGAAATACTGGAGGGTAAACCATTGTTTCCCCTTCTTGTGCTGTTTGAAAGGAGAATAAAGATATATTTCATCTGCATTTGTAGTTACCTTCATAATTCTACAGAAATAACAGGAGAAGTATATATGGCTTCCAGATAGTGGAGAGATGAAAAAGGAAATGGAGAGGAAAATGAGGGCTGAGAGAGTGAAAAGAGTAACAGACAAAGGGAAGGCACAGTGACTTGAATAGAGAGTGAAGGAAGGTGATAGCCATTCCTGTGTCCATATCTGTGATCATCGCAGATAGAGAGGGAACAAACTCAGCTGTGAAAAAGAACACGTCATGACCTGGATGGATAGGCACGGCATTCCATGTGTGATCCTCCCAAGAGAGGCCACTGACACAAAACCAGAAGCAATGATGGCAAGTGAAACACCATCTGATTTCATTCCTTTCCACACGCCTCTGAATCTATAGCAGGCATCTTTTTTTTCCCCTGAAAATAAAAACAAATCATCCTCATCCAATGCAGGAAAAAGAAAAAAAAAGCAACAGAAACATGATTTTGTAAGTTGGAAGGGATAATAACATAGGAACAGGATACAGGTTTGTATCAGAGGTAGAGCACTTGCCAAGAGGTTAAGGCCCTGTTTCCATCCCCAGTACCACAATTAGCAAAATGGGGGGAAGAAGGAGAAGGAGAATGGGAGAGAATATCCCAGAAGACTGACCCCCATCAAGTAATAGGCTATGCGCACACCAGGAGATGTAGACAGTGCTCTAGAATTGATGGTTTGGGAACCTCTAGACTGTGTGTCTTTGTGGGGAGAGGCAGGGTGGAATAGGATGTTCATGAATATGGTTGAAAGCTTTTCAAGTGCTGTGTGGATCACTGCCTCTACACCTCCAAGAGACATTCATTCCCTGTACCTCCATCCGCTGAAGTCTGGAGTTTTTATTCTGTAGGACAGATAAAAAGAAACCTTCTTAGATGGAGAAGTCGGCACAGAGCAGTGTAAGGCCACCTAGTCCTTAAACTGTCCTGAGACTTCTCTGTCCTCACCCCACAATCAGGTTGGTCCCTAGGCTTTTATTTTCTAGGGAAGAAATTGGAAAAGTCTTCTCTGGGCAATCTAAGCAGCCCCTAAAGGCCTGAGAACAGCAGGGAAGAGTACGGCTCAGCCACATCTTCCTGTAGACAAGCACCCAGCCATAGCTGTCACGCTCTGAGCTTCTACATCTTCATCCTCAAGTATAGGAAAGCACGAATGATCCCTAGAGGGGAGGTGCTAATTGAATCCCTCAGGCAGGAGGGGAAATGCAATTTGTAAGAATCAAAGATCGTGTGGAGGAGGAAAAGATTTTAGGTAAGCTAACATTTATGTTTTTAAGTGGTAGAGAGGATAGATTTCCATGATTCAAAAACAGGATGCCAGTACAGAATGTTTGTAGGGAGGAAGCATTCAGAGATGAAAGCAGGCTCACAGAAATGAAACCATGCTACAGCAAATATGAAACTCTCAGTAGAAACTTTGAAAGATAAGTAGGAAATTATTCAGATAAAGAAAGGACAATTAGAAAAAGCACGATCATTAGAGCACAAGCCCAAGAAGCCTTAGTCCTGAACAACAGGAGTTTTTTTAGAAAAGGAGAGGGAGAAATTATAATAAAATGTAATAAGCCATAAAAACATTTTCCAGATTGAAATGACATGAATTGTTTTTTAGTACAGTCAGGGAAAAGAATATTAACCCTATGCTGAAACATGTCCTCATGAATACTGGCCACGGAAGATTCTACAACCTTTGAGAACAAATTGTCACATTACAGAGAACCTGAATGGTGAGTGCCTCCAGGACTCACTGAAAGCAACAAAGGACGCTTGAAATGATTAAACAGGGCCCTCAAAATTCCAAAGGGATAATGCTCAGTGTGGAGTTTAATATCGTGTCCAAGCAGAGCCAAGGTAGAGAAGAAAGTAGGAGGGCTGAGGGAACAGCACCTGCCTAGCAAGCACAAGGCCCTAGTAACACCAAAAGTAAATAAATAAATAAATAAGAAATATGCTGGTTAGGACCAGAAAAATCTGATGAAAAGTCACCACTATATAAAGGGTCAAAGAACAGGGTAATCCTAGTTACTCAAGAGGCTGAGATCTGAGGATCGGAAGGCCAGCCGAGGCAGGAAAGTTTGTGAGACTCCTCGAAGAACTCTTTTAGTTGACTTAGAGCTGTGGCCCAAATGCTAGAGCACTAGCCTTGAGCATAAAGCTCATGGGCAGTGCCTAGGTCCTGATTTCAAGCCCTGAAACCAGCATGTGCATGTGCACACATACACACACAGTGAAAAGAGAAAAACACAACCTAGAGTTGGTATTTTCAAAAGAGTTGAGCAAGAATTAGGATCTACCCCACATTATGTATTTATGAGCAAGTACAGTATATGGGGAATCCCAACAAACAAACTCAGGTAGATCCCAGATAGGAAGTAGCTAAGGATTATGAAGGATACATCCTGAAAGAAATTTCTAGAATGCCCAAACATGTGAAGAGATAACCAGTGTCAGTAGTAGACAGGAAAAGCACATGAAAACTAAAATGACAAGTAGGAGGTGGTGCTGTCGCTCAAGTGGTAGAGTGCTAGCCTTGAGCTGAAAAGCTGGGGGACAGTGCCCAGGCCCAGAGTTTAAACCCCACGACCAAAAACAAAAAAGAATTGCTAAAATGACAAGTAGTTTATGTTTCTCCATTTGGCAGAAATTAAGATGTTTAACTGCATCAAGGGTTGTCAGGGTTAAGAAATGGTAGAAACTCACTTGCACTGGGGAAATGTTCACTTGTGCAAAATGAAACTGCGCATGTGTCCATACTTAGCTAAGAATGCCATAGCTGAAACCACTTCATAAATGCAAGTAGATATTTTCACAGAAAGGAATATGGTAGAGCAAAGTGATTAACTCTGTGGCCTCCAAACAGTGGTGTATTTGAAAACCAAGTAGTATGATGATTTGTTGAGTATAAAAGCACTGCTGGCAACATTTTAGCTAGCAAAGCAGCAGTACTGTAGAGTATATGTGGACACAGTAAGTTACCTCTGCACATAGTGACTTTCAAAAATATTTTATATTAGTTTCTATTGATATGGTATGCTGTACAAACATGGGCAGTCATTTGGGGAGAAATTCATTCTGAAATAGTCTGTCTTCTCATGGGATAACAAACTTTTCCTTTCCTTTTTTTTCCTTTCCTTCCCCCTCCCCTTCTCCCTCCTCCTCCTCCACCTCCTCCTCCGCCTCCTCCTCCTTCTTCTTTTTCGTGTGTGTGTGTGTGTGTGTGTGTGTGTGTGTGTATCTGTCTGTCTGTCTGTCTGTCTGTGTGTGTGTGTGTGTGTGTGTCTGTGTGTGTGTGAATTCTGAGGGTTTAGCCTCAGAGTATTAAGTTTGCTAGATCAGTCCTCTACTTCTTGAGTTGCCTTCCAGCCCTTTTTGTTGGGAGGTTGTTTTTGAGACAGGGTGTTGCTTTTTGGCCTAGACTGTAATCCCCTATTTATGCTTCCTGAGATCCAAAATGGTGAATACATATTATTGTACCTAGCTTTTTCCATTGAAATGGGGTCTCACAAAGGTGTTCTTGTTTTGTTTTGGTTTGGTTTTGGTTGTTGTTTGGGGAGAATTTTATTGTTTTTGTTTTCCTTTTCTTTTCTTTTCTTTCTTTTTGTAGTCCCTTGGGCTAGCCTGTAAGCAAGATATTCAGTGTCCTGGGTAGCTGGGATGACAGGCAAATGCCACTGAGCCCAGCTGTTGGTTGATATGACATCTTGAGAACATTTTATCTGGCCTGGCCTTTATCCTCCATCTTCCCAATCTCTGCCTATTAAGTAGCTTAGTAGTATAGGCATGTGCTACCATGACCAGCTGTCTCATGGAATAATTTACTCATTCATGTCTTCTGCCTGTTTACTCATTTCAGATCAAATTGTGGAGTAATTTTTCCATTGAATAAGTATCAATTCAGTGCTGATTTTTCATGGCTTGGGGGTAAGGGTTTTCTTTCTGTCAGGACCTGTGGAAGCTGAGTTTTATGTGAGTGGTTGAAGATGTAGGTGGGTTGGTCTTAGCTGGAGTCAGTATGGTTCCCAAGGGACACAGGGAAACACCCGACGCTTCCTGTCCATGGAATTGGCATGCATGAGTCTGTGTCCTCCTCTTCCCTTACGTTTCCCCACATGTTACATGGTGAGTACTTCCATTTGAAAAAAGAAATGATCATGAAGAAATAAAGAAAGTTGGAACAGCTCAATCACTGGCAGCCACAAGAACCAGCTACTTCTTACCACTGACTTGGGAAAGTTTATGGAGCAAGGAGGTGATGGAGCACAGCTAGCAACATGTTATCGATGTGTTTTCCCCCCTTGGTTGCAGGAAGATGCTGAAACTCTGCGGAGAGACAGAGGACAAGCTGGCTCAGGAGCTGATACATTTCGAGTTGCAAGTGGAAAGAGACGTGATTGAGCCCCTGTTTCTGCTGGCTGAGGTGAGCAGCAGTAGGGGGCTGGGCCTGGATGATGAGGATGTGTGGAAGCAGAGCTGCTGCACTGACCTACCTTCAGCCTTCGATGGTCTCCATCACTTCTATGGCCCACTCCCTGGCATAGCTTTTCAGTAAGACACACTATGACTCAACCCACATCAAAATTTCCAAATATGGCAGGCAGTCCCACCAGCTGTTTGCTGCCTCCTCCTGTTCTAGCCTCTTCTCTTTGCATTCTGATAAATAGATACAAGGCTGCCATATCAATTCCATCTCCACCCCACACCTAGACTACCATCACCTCTGTCTCCCCCACCCATCTCAGGTCTTCATTAACATGGATGGCAGTCCCCTCACATGTAGCCTTAGTGACCTGATTCAAGAGCCTCTGTAAAATTCTCTTGTGCTTGGTAGTCTTCCCTCTCCTGCTTTGGCTTTTTTTCTTTTAAGACAAAGTCTCACCATATAATCCTGGCTAGTCTTGATCTCTCGTTCCTCCTGTCCCAGCCTCTTGGTTTTGTTGTTGTTTGTTTGTTTGTTTTTGTGCCAGTGCTGTGGCTTAAACTCGGGGCCTGGTTAGCTTTTTCCCTCAAGGCTGGCACTCTACCACTTCGGGTATATACTCCCACTTCTGTCTTTTATGGTTAATTGGAGGTAAGAATCTCATGGACTTTACAACCTGATCCTCAGATCTCAGCCTCTTGAGTAGCTAGGATTGTAGGCATGAGCCACTGGTGCCCAGCATAAAGTATTTTGTTAAAAAGCTAGGTATCTTTTTTTCTTCTTCTTAACAAAAACCACTTACCATAGCATTATTCAACCTACATTCTTCAGTATGATAAGGGATAGAAAAATATTAAGATATATGCATACAAAACAATACCATAGGAAAGGAGGGAAAATACCAGAGGGGTTATTATGATCAAGAGGCATTTTCACATAAATATTGTTAAATTGATACCCCCCTGTACAACTAACCGATGTCTAATTAATAAAAGGAATAGTATGCAGCTGTGGCAATGAATGTGACCTAAACATCACCTGTCAATGTCTGCTGATGTCAAGACAAAGAAACCAATCACAGTAGGATATGTACTTGTTATGTGAGTTCTTTGACATACAGTTTTTAAAAAAGCAAGCCTATCTTTGGCAGTAGAGGTCAGGAGAATGTCCACCTTTAAGGCAAAGATACGTAACAAGGATGCAACCACATGGGAGTTTAGAAACTCAGACTTACTTATTTGTAACTTTGTTTGCTTATATATTTGTTTTATTTATCCCTGTGCTTCATGTACTTTTACAATAGCATCAATTAATTACACACAAGGGTTTCATTTGAACATGGCTATTTAAGTATAAAAGCATCTTGATTAGAAACAGCCCCTCTGAAACAGCTAGCTATCTCAATGTCTGTGTGACACTTTTGCTAGTAGTTTCCATCAGGAAAAACCATGGCAAGGGGGACAGGAAGTGGTTAGTGGGCTTTATTTGCTTCCAACCTTAGACCTTGTCTCACTACCTTCATTGGTTATGGAAATCTAACCTGTCCTCTCAACGCTCCCTGCAATCAATGGTGGACATTTCTAAGTCTGCATTCTTTGGCAACCCCTAGCCTTACTTAGCTGTCAAGCACTGGAGATAAGGTTAGTATGGGTCAACAACTCCATTTTTCATTACATTTCATTTTTGCTCATTGAAATTTGGAGTTACATAGGTACTGGTGACTAGAGGCCACTATAATTGGATGATACCGCCCTAGGTCCTGATTGGTTACTTCTCTAGACTTTTTCCAATTCCTCTCCTTCCCCTCTAGTTATTGTTGTTGTTGGATGTGGGGCTTGAAGTCAGGGCCTGATGTCTTTGATATTTTTTTGCTCAAAGCCACCACTCTACCACTTTGAGCCACTTGCAGTTTTCTGGTGGTTAATTGGAGATGAATTTCATGGGCTTTGCTTCCAGGGGCTGGCTTGGAATAACAGTCCTCAGATCTCAGCCTCCTGGGTAATAGGTTTACAGGCATGGACCACCAGTGCTTGGCCCCTGATAGTTTTTCTAAGACAGAAGAACAGCTAAATCATTGCTTGCATACCTAAAGACAATCAAAGACCACCAAGTCCTGGATTGGCATGTACCAACTGTAGTTCTCTCTGCCTCCATCCTGGGTCAGACCCTCCCCTAACCAAGAACATTCATGAGAGACTCTGTTCTCCTACAGGCCATGCTATAGCAAAAGCCCTAGACAAACAGCAGCTAGGCTGACTTAGAAGCAAAACTGGGATTCTCTTGGCAAGACTCACAATTACCATGGAATCTCCCAGTCCTGCCTCACGTAACTTTGCAGGCTCTGACTGCCCATGGACACCTACACGGCTCTCTCCTTTGGAAGTCCTTGCACTCAGTGTCTTATGCAGCCTTGCTCAAGACAGTGAATGAACGGAAAGCCCTTCACAGAACATTGGGTTTCCCTCATGTTTTCCCCTTATATAAAAACCACAGCCTGACATGATTCTCCTTTAATTTATGGCCAATTTTCCTTTTTTAATTCTCACATCCTGCCCTACTTTTTTTTTTTTTACTGGGCCTGGAACCAAAATCCTGCACTAGAGTGCTCAGGGAAGTCATTTTTAGAAAGGAAACTATAAAAAGAGCATCTCCATATAACCAATATGGAAGGACTCGTTGCTCAGAAAAGCCATGGTGTTGGTGTTTTTTCATTGTTTACTTTGGGAACATCTTACTTGATTTCTGTAACTATAAGACACACATCCAACTGGCATGCCTCAAAACTTCTCAGGTCTCCTCCAGCTTTCACTGCTCGTTTTGTGGTAGGTCTGCGTGTCAGAACTCGCTGCCTGGCTCCCTTTATTTCTCCCCAAGTCTTGGTCTTGTGGAAGTTAAGGAGGTAAGATCAAGCCCCTGTTTTTCTGGCTGAAGTGAGAGTCAGAGTGTGGCCAGACCTAGGGCAGTAACAGGGAGACACAAGACCTCAGAGATTGTCTTAAGTCAGTGGGGGACTTGGTGGGCACCCAAAGAAAGCAGAGAATTACTCAGGAAGAGGAATTAGGAGGCTGATGAGAGAGTAGAAAATCTCATCTATGCTGGATGAATGGAGTCTGGAGATGCACTGGACAGTATGGTGTGACTACTATGTTGCTTACTTGAATCTGTCAAGATGGATCTAAAGTGTTTTTACTATACACACACAAACACACACATGCACAAGTATTCAATACAGATACGGACACACAAAGAATTGCTTACTTGAAATTTGCTAAGAAGATGGATCTGAAGTGCTTTTGCTATTGCTACCCGCACACACAAGTATACACATACAAGTACACACAAGGAATTGCTTACTTGAAAGATATTAAGAAGACAGATCTCAAGTGTTTTTAATACATACAGGTGTGTATTAGTGCATACACATGTACACACAAAGAAAGGAAATAACTAAGATGTGATGATTGCCATAGATATATAGCAAAATAGCAAATTGCATCCTTAAAACATATAACCCTATGGCTGGGGGTGTGGCTCAAATAATAAAGTACCTGCCAAGCATGTGGGGGGGGCTTATTGAATTCAAACCCCAGTACCACAATTATATGTGAGTATGCACAGATATAATGCTTGTAACTCCTATTTATGAACAACTGTACTTCAATAAAATGGAGAAGGAAGAAGAGGGTTTGGTTTGAAAATAGGGATTGGGTTCTAGCAAACTATGGGGTTGCTGTTAGTAGTTCTTAATTGTTCAGAAGCCTAATCCTTTAAAATACTGACCTTCAGCTTCTATCTGACCCTGTCTCTCATCCATGACTGCAGGTGGAAATTCCGAACATTCAAAAGCAGAGAAAGCATTTGGCAAAGCTGGTCTTGGACATGGACTCTTCCCGAACCAGGTAGGGTTTCTTTACGTTCTTTCCTGCTTCTTTGAAAGGTTTTATTTGGGGGTCAGAGACAGGGGTGGGTTTGTGTGCGGTGAATGTGTTCTCTAACACTAAGTTCTTTGTTTCCTTAGAACAGAGAAACAAAACCTCCATGTGTTAGGGCAGAGAGAGGTGGAAGTAGAGAGCAGAATGAATGTGTGGAGTCTCTTTTTTTTCCTTCTCTTTCTTCGAGGTTGAACTTGGCCTTGGACTTGCAGTGCAGGTGTCCTCTGCTACCTGAGTTCAGGCTTCAGATCATCTGCGAAGTCTTGATTTGCTGTTAGTTATTACAGCACCTTTGCACCACATAGACTTGCATCTGGTTCACAAGGGTTCAGGTACCACATTGTGCAAAGTCCTAAAACACTGACCAAGCAGTGCTGAGGGCCCCATTGTTAGGATGAGGTGGGCACCAGGCTTCCAGGTTTGTGGAGCCCAATACTTCTGTAAGAACTAGGGTCTTTGCTCTGAAATCTTTTCCTTGCTTTGGCCAGGAAAGCCTGTTTTTCCAGCACAGAGCTTCTGGCAAGACCACATGCCAGAACTGAAGCGTGTCATTACTACCTCCAGCTATGCCACTACTTTTGATGAGTCCTCTGATGAGAGTCTTCTCACCAGGCCAGTGTTGTGTTTAATGAGGACACCAAGGGATATACGGTTTCTGAAAGCCCAGAAAGATGTCTGTCGCTGGAGATTTCACTTGTGATTTATAATACTTTTCCTACTTCATCATACTTTTCTTCAGCCTCTCATCTCCTTTATTTTGGAATCTGGGAAGGAAATCTCTATCTCTCCTATCCAAATTTCAGCTTTTATAAACTTTCCCAGCCTTGGATCCTTGACAGTCTTTGTTGTTTATAGATTTTTTTAAGCCTTTTAGGATGATCCTACTCTATCTGCTTGCTGGTCCGTCTTCATCATCTCATAGCCCACTTTGTGGTTAAGAGCTGTGAGTTGGGAGAGAGTGGATGGCTTTGGGGGAATTATTGGCAATACAGGCCTCTCAGCCACTCAAGTTTATTTTCTTGCAGGTGTCTGCTTTAGCAACTAGTAGAAGGTCTAATCTTAGCCTCTAAGCTATGGATTCTTCAGTCACTTAAGTTTAGGTTACAGGATGAAGCAGGACTTCTTAGCAGCGAAGAATGACTTTTTAGCAAGCGTGTCCTCTTCCTTCCTACTGTGCTCCCAGATTGGCACTTTTTGCTTCTACTTCTAGCCAATGACTGGATCTTCGACTTCTCCAACTCCGGTGAATATTGTCAAATCCATCTAAGCTAGTGAGACTTTATATCAAATGTGCACATTTGTCACTAGTCAGGTAAACTTGGCTTGTTTGCTTCAAAAGCCAATGATTTAGGCCTTTCTTCTCCTCGGAGAAAACAGATGCTTAGAAGATGAACGAAAGATTGTATAGGAGAGGGATGGAGATAACCTCAAGGAAGTATTGTAGTGAGTTAAAGCTTGTATTTTGAAGCAAATATTAACAATATGGAAATGTCTTTTATGCCATTGGTTTAGATTGGCAGTGGTTAAAGAAAAACACTCCCTTTTCCCCCAGTGACCTCACTTTTTTTCTGGATATGTATTTTAAGATTAACCCTTCTGAGTCTAGGACACATTCAGCCTCTGCTGGACAGCTAACTCTTGAATCTTATATACTGGCTGGCATTTCCGGTAAATTCACTTCTGGAACTCCTTGAACACCACTGAGATTACTTCTGGAGATAAGATATTTAAGGTAGTCCAGGGCTGGAGCTCTGTTCGATATAATTGATACACTGACAGGAAAGGCTACAAAAGGACTTGGTGCCAACTGCAAGTTAGGAAGAGGGGTCTTCTTTTTGGAACTTTGATCTTGGAAGTCCAGCCTCCAGAACTGCAAGAAAATAAACTTAGGTCATCAAAGCCCACCAGGTCTGTGGCCCTTTGCTGCAGAAGCCTGAGCAGAGTAATATATCGATTTCCTTTGGAAGAAAATGAACTAGTGTAAGGAAGAGAGAAGGGCTCAGGGAGGAATCCCAGGCAGCACGTGGAATTTAAGAAGTGGATCACCAGAAGTAGGATTCTGGAGTCATGACAGTCTTTAATACCTGGGAGCAGAGACCTTTCATCTCCCCCACCCCCACCCCCCCCTGCAGTGCTCCACATGCAGGTAGGTACCTTTTCCCTGGATCCCTTTGCTTCCTAGTTATTGGATATCCCTTGGGCTCAGGGCTGGCCCTCATGAACCCTCTTCTTTTTGTTCTAGTTTTATCAGTGCAAAGGAAGGACTCTCTTTGTTCAGGATACTCTACTGTCAGTTGGCCAGGAAAGGAAAGACAGGGAAGAGCTTGCTGTCTAAGATGGGCACTCACTGCCAGGGTCCTGCAAAACATGGCAGATGCTTTCTGGACCACATAGGAGAGCTGGAGTGAAAAGTGGAGGATGTCGATGTCAGGGGCTGGGAGGTAAAACAGGTGAAACAATGTCCCACTGAGGGCACTTTGCTGTTGACCTTCCAGAAATTCTCCTGAACATTCATGCTGTCCTGGACTGATCTCAGGTTTGCCTTCTGTACCCGTTTCCTGAGATCCCAACTCCCATTTTGCATCTTCTTCTCTCTTCTGGCCTTCGGGGTAGCTTGTGCCCTGTCTTCATCTTCCCATTGTGCCGCGCCTCTTCTCCAGAGAATTACAGTGGTACATCCACTAATATGGTAGGAAGACACTAACTTTCTGCCCTTCAGATTTTAAAGCTTGGACATTGTCCAGAATCTTTGTGGAATAACAGTCAACCCTTGAGTTTATTTTAGAGCAGATGGTCTGAGAAGACCAGCATACCTTGACATTCATGGTTCAGTTCACTTTTCTTGATAGGTACTGTTGGGCTGATTTTTTTCCATAGTCTCCTTAGTATTTTGCTATTCAAAATGACTATGTCATTAGTTACAGAGCTTACTGCAAGTAAGATTCCATTAGAGAGATGAGACTGTATGTCTTTTAAAGGACTGGGATAGTGACTAAAGGACACAACTTAGAAAAAAAAACTTGAAGGGAAAATCAGTTAACTTGGGGAAATGTTGTTTTAATTTACAAATACTAACCCTAATTGAGATTTTTGGGGGGTAGGTTGTAGAGCTTGAACTCAGGACCTAGCTTCTTTGTGCTCCCTGAGTCCCTTTGTGCTCAAGGCTAACACTCTACCACTTGAGTCAGAGTATCATTTCCAGTCTTTGAGTGGTTAATTGGAGATAAGAGTCTTACAGGGACTTTGCTGACTGGGCTGGCTTCAAACCGTAGTCCTCAGATCTCAGCCTCCTTGAGTAGCTAGGATTACAGGTGTGAGCTAATAGCACCCAGCTCTATAATTGAGATTTTTTTCTTGAAAATCTAACCCAGATTTGCAAAAACATTAAAACCAACTTATGTCTTTATATGTGTGTGGTATATGTTTGTTTATATGTGTTCATATATGTGCATGTGTAGTTATATGTACGTGTTGTGGGGGGGAGGGGGTATATTATAACCACAAAAAATGGTTGTTATTTCTTCAGACAATGATTATAACCTGATCCTGCAATCACTGTGGAGGGATATTTGTGGGGTTTTTTATTATGTTTATATAGTTATGCAAAAGGATATTTGTTGTCTTAGCTGTGGCATTTCAGATTTTACTTACCATAATCTAATACATTATTTAAAACAGTTAAGCCTGGGGGTATGAATCAACAATATCATTTGTGTATCATAAACCTCTATCTAAAAACAAAGTATCTCTCAGGGATTCTCACCAATCCTTTGCTGCCAACTTATTTCAACTTCAATCTTGAAATCACATTGAGTAGAATATCTTCTTTCTAATTTGCCCTAAATTCTTATCTTGGAATCAGAAATCTTTTCCAGGACACGTATCTCTCTGGACCATCAAACTGACTGGACATCCCAAAGCCTTTTATGATGAATTTTCCCAGGGTTACACTTTTTTTTAGGGGACAGAGTCCTTTTCTTTGCTATTTTTTTCTATTCACAAAAACACCTTTAGTTTCTCTTTACCTTATCTTATACCATCAATCCCTGTACTCTCTTTATTTCTCTATGAGTAACAGAAGAAAAAAGTGGAATAGAAGCCGGGTGCTGGTGGCTCACGCCTGTAATCCAAACTATTCAGGAGGCTGTGATCTGAGGATCGCGGTTCAAAGCCAGCCCGGGCAAGAGAGACTGTGAGACTCTTATCTCCAATAAACCACCAGAAAACCGGAAGTGGAGCTGTAGCTCAAGTGGTAGAGCGCTCGCCTTGAGCTGAAGAGCTGAGGGACAGCGGCCAGGCCCAGAGTTCAAGCCCCATGACCCACAAAAAAAGAAAAAAGTGGAATAGAGAAAACCTCTAGGGATTATACTCTTGAACTTTAAGATGGGGAGGGGCAGGGGGCAGGAGCATCCCATTTTTTACCCCTACCTTAGAGGCCTCAAACTGTTGGCCTGAATGTCATATAGAACCACCACAGCTACTTGCTTGGTCAGTACTCTATTAGCCTGTATGATGTTTAGAAAAATTACCTAATCTCTTCCTGCTTTTCATGAGAGGAGTTCACATAAAGTTTCTAAATTCTCTTATCAATGGAAACATTTGACAACCAATGACCTGGAGTTATCTTAGACAGGCCAGCACTCCCCTCAATGGGACACACACCTTAGATTCCCCAATCCTTTCCTCTCCCTTCAGACTTGCCAAGCCTGAGGCCAGGTTTATATGCTGCTAGTCATCTTGATTACCCTGTTGTTTTTCTTATGGTCTAGAAGTATCTCTACATCTCATGTCTCTAGTACAAGAAGAAGATAAAATATCCAGGTGACTAAGGGTTTTGTTTGGTCTTGTTTTTGTTTTGTGCCAGTACCGGGGCCTGAACTCAGGGCCTCTTCTTACTCAGCTTCCTCTCTCTCTCTCTCTCTCTCTCTCTCTCTCTCTCTCTCTCTCTCTCTCTTTCTCTCTCCTTTGCTTTTTTAATTTTTTTAAATTGTTATTATAAAGGTGATGAACAGAAGAGTTACCATTTCATAAGTCAGGTAATGAGTGCATTTCTTTTTGAATAATGCTAGCCCTTCCTTCACTCTCTCCCAGTTTTTCCCTCTTGTCTACAAGTTGTTAATTTTCAGTGTAGTGTCTATGTTCAGGTCTTTTGCACTTTTACCCCTTGAGTCAATTCTGGAATTCTGGATTTCTACTAGTTAACTAGAGATGAGAAACTCTTGAATTTATCTGTCCAGGCTGACTCTGAACTTTGAGCCTCACACCTCATCCTCCTGAGTAGCTAGGGTTTTAGGTGTGAGCCACTGACATCTGGCTCAGGAGAGTCATTCTTAAAATAACAGCTTGTTTGGCCTCTTTCTCCTACCTGATGATACCTATGAGCCATTGAGTTCACAGACCCATAAGAAGAGAAACCCATTGTTGGGCCTAGTGTTCTTGGAACTGCCTTTCAGGGAGGGCTTCCATCAGCTCCCCTAAAATGACTAGCAACCAATAAGGTCCCTCATCTGAAGAGGCATTCTCATGCCTGTCATCCCAGCTGCTTAGGAGGTAGAGATTAGGAAGACTGCAGTTCAAGACCAGCCCAGACAAAATTATTGGAAAATCCCCATCTCAACCAGTAAAATCTTGGCATGGTGGCATGCCCTTTTCATTTCAGCTGAACAGGAAACAAATAGGATTGTGGCCCATGCCAGCCAAAGGATAAATACAAGACCATATTCAAAAAGATAATGACAGTAAAAAGGGCTTAGGTAAGGTATGGCTCATATGGTAGAGTGCCAGCCTAACAAGTATGAGGCCTTGAATTCAAATATTCATACCAGCGAGGAAAAAAAGAGAGAAACAGATGGGGAGGGCAGTATTCCTTCCTCACAAAGATAATTTTTTTCATGAAAATATAAATATTACTGTACAGTTTTCTCCCTATCTGTGAAGATTTTTACTTTACAAGTTGTTTTTATTCTTACTGGTGTATGTTCTCAATTAGCATGTATCACTATCTTCAATCAAATAGTAGAATTCCCACATGTATACCCACTGGGAAAGTTAACGAATGACACAGACTATACTGAGAGATAGTGATAGTGATATTGAAATGTATATAATACATTACTATTAACTACTGTTAGTATGTAAAACGTTATGTATTTCATTAATTATTTAATCATGCTACATGGTACCAAATACATAATTTTTGTGTGTCTGCCAGTACTGGGACTTGAACTCAGGACTTGAGTGCTATCCCTTAGGTTGTTCACTCAAGGCTGATACTTTACCACTTGAGACACAGCTCCATGTGTGGCTTTTTGCTGATTAATTAGAATTAAGAGTCTTATGGGTTTTCCTGTCTGGGCTGGCTTTGAACCATGATCCTCGGATCTCAACTTCCTGAGTAGCTAGGATTACAGCCGTGAGCCACTCACTAGTCTTTGTAAATGTACCTAATTGTAATTTGTCACTGAAAAATAACATGCACTTGTTGAAAAGACATTCATAGTAATTGTCATTTGGCCTGCTGTTCAGAAGACCACAGAGGTGGCAATGGCAACCCAGGAGACGTTCTTTCTTTGTATAGGAGTACCCGATCCCCAGTCTCAGCCTGTAGTTGCGATGTGGAGGTAGGGCCCACTTTTCTCCTAGGTTAGTACATGATAACATTTCATCACTTCTTCTCAGCAGGAGTGTGCAGTCCCCAGGGGTAATATCTGCAATTGGGTATACTCTCAGTTTCGGATAGCCCCAGGGCTCTGCCTGTCTCATGCCTCTCCTCTTTTTTTTTTCTTCTGTTTTCCATCAGGTGGCAGCAGACTTCCAAGTCCACAGGGTTGTCCAGCAGCCTGCAGCCTGCGGGTGCCAAGGCTGATGCCCTCAGGGAAGAGATGGAGGAGGCGGCCAACAGAGTGGAGATTTGCAGGGTACCTGCCCTTCTTCACAGCTCTCTTCTGGGACACAATGGGGAGCCCTCTTGTTTGGTTCTTCTCAAGTGTCTAGTTAAAGTGCAGGTCTTCAAACGTGCCTGATTATTTCATATCCAGATACCAGGATAAAGACTGAGTGAAGGCTTTGATGTTGACCTCTTCAGACAGTCAGCCTTGGGTTATTCCATGTGGATACTGCACAACAGGCAAAGAGAAAATGGCCTTTGTTTCTGTGAGAAACACTTCTGGCCAACAATTGAGAATTGAAACCATGGATGAGCCTTGACTGACTGTTATAAATTGCTTATTTTCATTACCTTTTTAATACTTTCTGAGTCTCCTTGTCGATACTGTGCCTCCTGGAAGACTGGTCTATGAAGTGAAATGCTAGCCATGGGGATAGTCAGAGAGCAAACAAACTTTCCACTTCTAAGAGAGAGCTCATCATGCTGAACCCATTCACATGCTCACCACCCATTTTCTTAACACATAGTTGTAAGATTTAGTTAGCAACACACCATTCATCATACTCAATGGACATGTACATCTGCTAACAGGTACATATGTCAGTTTAGGTTGGCAAGGAACTCCAAACTCTAGTTAGTCTCAAGGAACAAACATTTCTCTCTCTTCTGATCTCCTGTTGTTGTTATCCTGTTGGTGTTATAGTTCTGTGGAGCCAAGCAAAGTAAGATCAATACTTCAGTTCCAGAATTCATTGTGATAAGGCAAATTTGTCTCTTGGACTCCCGGGTTGATGGCAAATCCCTCGCTGGAGTTTTAGACACCTTTTCCAGTAGACATGGAATGTAGTGGTAGGAGGACACATTGAAATAGGTCAAAATAAGAGTGTCAATACTGTATGCATTCTAGGGTAGCTACTTACCTTTACTGTTCTGCCTAAGACCTACATTCTGCCAAAGTCTTTGAAGATTATAAAAAGATATATATTTACCATAGATATACATTTACCATAGTATTGGAAAAATACAATATGACAAAAGGCAAGAAGTCTCTCCCTCCCAGCTCAGCAATCCATTTACAAATAAGGTATCTAGTTCCCACTCCCACCCACCAATATGTATTAATAACTCTGAGGTAGGTACCAGTGGCTTGCATTTACAATCCTAGCTACTCAGAAGGCTGAGATTGAAAGGATCATGGACTGAAGTCAGCTCTTGCAGAAAAGTGAGACATTCCATTTCTAATTAACTAGCAAAGAGCTGGGCTCTTGGGTAGAGCACAAGCTTTAAATAAACCAGACGATCAAGAAGCCCAGAACTGGGGAAAACAATAAAGAACCCCTAAAATTCTCTTTGACAATGTACTGTGTTACATGCCAAGCACCATGAAAATTATAAGGATAAGGAATGTTATAAGGTGTTACAACCTGTAGACTGCATACCTTCCTTCATAGTCATACAAACACATACATGTGGATAGTATTACCCTAGTTACTGTTGCAGTTTTAACAAATAAATATCAGCTGTGCTGTTTATAATTAGTCTAGCACCTAATTCTTAAAATTAACCACTCTTTTCAAACTAGTATCCAAAGTCAAACTTACTGAAAGTATAACATTCCATGTTATATACGTACACATATATACATATGTGTATATATACATATTACACATATGTGGATAGACATTTGTTTATAGTACATATACAAACACCATGACTTACTTAGCTGTTTTCCTGTTGAAGGATATTAAGACTGATGAATTCTTCATTGTTGTATTTTGCTTCTTTCTCTATCAAAATGATACTGTAAACATACTTGTACATGTACATATTCTGGTAAGTTGGTTATTTCCCTAATGCATAGATTTCCCAAGGTGATAACATTTAAGTCAAAATCTATGCATATATGTAATCTAGATAGATAGATAGATTTTTTTAACTAGGTGAAGGTAGTTTACTTCTAGGAAAAGAAAATTAGTAATTCACATTTCCACCATCAGTATGAAAAGTGGCACATTTCCTCTCATCATTACCTATAAGATTTGTTACTCCTGTTTCCAGTTTCACTAGTCTGTGGCGGGGGAGGTGCGGGGGGTGCTCTGTTTGTGTTCTTGAGCTTCAATTTGCCTAAATATTAGTAGCAGTGAATGTATCTTTATGAGTTTATTGGTTAGTTTCCACATAAGCTATAACCAGTTGGAGGAATTGCCTATTTTGTTAGCAGTTGAGCCAGGATTTTTGTAATTTTTTAAAATTTTATTGTAAATGTGATGTTCAGAGAGATTACAGTTACATAAATCAGGTAATGAATACGTTTCCTTTTGAAGAATGTCATTCTCTCCCAGTTTTCCCCCTCCCAACTTGCCTCTACCCAGCCCCCCTCCCACAAGTTATATAGTTCATTTCCAACATCGTGTCTAGAATGGGTTTCACTGATGAATTGGTTCACCTTTTATCCCACCATTTCTGTGCTTCCCCTTCCTTCCCCAAATCAGATGAATTTATTTCAGTTATTTTTAAGAATTTGTGTGTGTGTATGTGTGTGTGTGTGTTCTCTATGTACAAGGAACATGAAATACTTTCATGTCTGCTATACTGCAGGTACTTTTTCTAGCCAGCTCTGCTATTGGCTTTGCTTATTGTCTTCTGATCTTAAAAACCTAGTCAGTTCTGTCTATTTCCTTTGCCTGGAAAAAGCTTCCACGTGGGCCATGAGACATCTTCTACCCAAAAGATAAACCATTTCATACTTTCAGTACTTGAATGTATTTTACATATTTCTTCATGCATACCAGTTTCTTTTCATGTATGGTATGATTTTTGTGGCTTTAGGTAGATAGTTAAATCAGCACCTTTTCAGGAAGTGAAATTCTACCATGCAATCCCTCATGTTTGTTTGTGAAATCCTCTTCATCTGTTTGCCTCTTCCTAGTCTAATGGCTATGTAGCAAATGCAGTGTTCAGTGAGGCCACCTTCCTTCTTCCTTTGTAGTTATCTTGGCTGGTCCGTGACATCTGTTTTATTGTATGAAGTTTGTGACAATCATTTCCACTCCCAGGAGTCTTGTCTTTGTGCTGAGCTGCTCATGAGAATTCTCACTGAAGGTTTTGTTCAACTTCTTTTCTTACTTTCTTTTTTAATTCTACTTCTTTGGCTGCCAGTTTCTCAGTTTCTACCTTGATCTTTCCTCTGAGCTTCTTGACTGGGGTTTCCATTGTATTCTTATGTTTTTGTATTTTCTCAGGAGACAAGTCTTTAAGGTCCCCTACTTTGTGACACACCAGCAACATTAAAAGGTTATTGAGCATCAGTCTATTCTTGTTTAGAGAGAAGATCAAGAGGAAGGCCCCTCTTTGGGGCTCAGAGTGTTTGCCATGTAGAAAACCCAGTCAGGGTGGGTTTTGATCTTTGAAGAAACAGCAGAGATAGTAATTAGAGAACCAATCTGTTCAATGTAGTATCAGGTTTGATTTGAGTATGAGTCAGGTTGAAGTTCTGGGCTTCCTCTGGAAGGTCAAACTTTGCCCCTTCCACTTTCCTGCTGATACCTCCCTCCCCCTTGCTGCACCCATGTCTTTCTCCTTCCTACTTGGCCTCATCTTCATTATGTCTCTTTTAACTTGTGTCTTACTTCGTCTTCTCTAGGGTGTCATCTGTATGTTTTCACAACCAGGCTTAAATTTGGGGAAGGTGACAACTGGAAGGCAAATTTCAGCCCACCTTGTTCTCCTTACAGGCTGGCTTAAAAGCATGTATGCATATTGACAGACATCAAGACAACATTGAGTTTGGCCCTGCCACTCCTCTTAGTATTAAACTCATGTAATGTCTTGGGAAATATGTACATGATATTTCAGTAGAGTTACTTTTTTCATCAAGTATGGTAGGTTGTGGAGAGGTTGAGCAGCACTGGTAGTGCTTGGATGTCCTTCTGCCAGTAGAGCATCCATCCCACCAGACATAAGGGCAAGAGAGTCATACCAAGTAGGAAGCCAATTTCTACTGGATTTTCCTACAACACTTCTGAGACCTTCCCTGACAGGTCAGGCTGTTTAGCATAGGGGAGGCATCGCTTACCTAAAGTGGGAACACATTACATGGATGCTCCCTGACTTAATGGCTTCACTAATCATTATGGCGAGGAACTGAAGTAGACTGCAAGTACCCTCTACCGCAGCAGCATGTCCCCAAACTGACCCCCACCCCACAGGCTGCCAAACTCATGAGACTGACCCCAAGTAGACAGGTTCTGAGGACATTCTGTCCACCTGGGAAAAAAGGGGCAGGAAAGAGATGCATACCATGTTAAGGCTTTCAAAAAATTATCTTGTGTACATTATTTTTCTCTGCTAGAAAACAACAAAATAAAGTTGTCCTTGGATCCATGATTCCAGACTCCTGCACAAAATCTAGATTTTCAAGTAGTGTGCACCTTATCCAATATGCTTTAAATCATTCCTAGAATACTGATAGTGCCTAACGCAACACAATGTTGTGTACATTGTTATACTGTATGCCTTAGAGAATAACGAAAAGGAAGGAAAAATGTGTTGTATATGCTCAGGGCACCTGCAGTTAATTCTCAGTATTTTTTTTTCTGTCAGTCGTGGGCCTGAACTCTGGGCCTGGGCACTGTCCCTCAGCTCCTCAGCTCAAGGCTACTGGCCTATTCTGCTTATATGGTGCTGAGGAATCGAACCGAGGGCCTCATGCATGCAAGGCAAGCACTGTACTACTGAGCCACCTTCCCAACCCCCAATTCTCAGTATTTTTTTATCAATAATGATCAGTCTGCAGGTGAATAACTCATAGATGTGGAAAGTCACCCATACACCAGGGAATTTAGAGCACTTTTGGAAAGGTCTTACTGATTGCCACAATGAAATTCAGATACCACAGCTTGGAGCCCAATTCAAGGGAATATGGTTATCAGGCCTCAGTGTGTCAATGTGAGATAGAGGCTCCATGTGGAAGAGGAACTGAATGAGACTGGGATTATATTTGGAAACCATAGTGCAAATATAGAATTGTTC